ATAGAATCCATACTGTAGAAAATCATTATAGTATATAATATTATTTAACAGCATTGTTAAAAAATTCTCGATATGCATTGATAACAGACTTGTGATATTGTTTGCAATCATGATCTGATTGCTATTGATCTGATTATATCTATTCGACTGGGCACAGCTATTGATGGCAGCATTGTGGGTCATGGGGAAGGTGGCAGGCAAAGGAGAGCTGCTTTTCATAGAAACAAACAAACAAATAAACAAACAAACAAACTCACCTCAGGTGAATGCACTGTCCAAAAAAAGCCACAAATCTGACCGAGAGGCTGCTCCCAGAAAAAACAAACACGCTAACGTGTAAGCTAACTTTGTTCTTGCTTACGGTTTGGTAGTTTTTGCTATATCTTATAAGTTTTGCGATATCGTTTACGCCCTCAAATAAGACAAACATGATTAATTCAGTGCATCCTAAAGCTGCGGACGGCGTGTTTTCTGTCGCTGAAATCGTCCAACATGACCGGACATTGCCAACAGATAAAGTCTATCGTTGATTCACGGCATGATACGTTAAGCCAAATCAATAAATCAATTTCTTTGACAACAGTAGTCTGTAAACACCTCATTTTGTTGCATCTTAATAGACAGTGCTGGCTGTATGTAGAAAACACTCTTGCAGTTTCCTTCTAGAGCTGTGGCTCTAGAAATTAGCAGGCAGAAAGTAAAGGTCTGGGTGATGAGATTTACACACTGAGGACAGGTGAGGAGTCTGAGAAAGTTCCTCACTCTAGGTCAGCCTGCTACTCTAAACCAGCTGCACTGAGTCTCTTAAATCACACTGATGAGGAAGGTGAACACACACACACACACACACACACACACACACACACACACAGCAGGCCTAAACACCCTGAAACAGTATAAAGTAGAAACTCTGGCTGCCATGAGCTGAAAGAAGACACCTCACAGCAAAAAGTGGGGAAAAAACAGGCACAACTTCAATAACTCAGACAGGATCTACAGCCAACTTACCAGTGAGCAGATAAGGAGACTTTCTAGAGCTCTTACATAAAATCATTTGCAAATAAATATGGCCTAGATTTTTTTAAACAATAATTGGAGATGGCTATCTTGCCAAAACTGCTTTTTATAAACTTCAGTGAGGCACAGAGGGGAGGTAAAAATTTAAACTGCTGTCCTAAATACCACCGTACACATACTGATCCATTACATCTACTGTGTTTCATCAGTGAATGAAAATCACAGAAGAAGCAATTCTGATGACGAACAGCCCATGTTTTACAATAGGGCATGACTCACAGACTTCACACACACACACACACATAAACAGAGCCGCCGAAAAGTACAATGAGGCAGGCAGGCGCTCATTTCCCATTATTTCAGGATTATAATTTTACACGGCACCAGAGAGAGTGAGGGAGTGAGGAAAGAGAGCAAGAGAGAGAATCTGTACAAGGAAATCTCGCCAGGAGACCCAAGGTCCAATTACATTAATCAAACAAGGACTGCACTCATTTGAATGTGCTATTAAATACAATCACAATCTGCCTGATTCTCCATTTACTGAGCATGATAATTTCACTGACACTTGCGTGAGCAACAATGTGAGAAAGATCAATTACCCAGAATTATTCATCATTTCTTATTGATCACAGTATCTGGTTAAGTGGCGCAGTGTCTCCTCTACAGAGAAGATGCTTTGGCACATTTTAATGCACAATTAATGTTTACTTGCTGAATTTAACATACTGGACATGAATTTAACATGTTGGACAAAAAAATAAAACATTAAACGTGGCCTGTGCAAAAGTTATGGCACAACTAATGTGTTCCGTTTTTGTTTCCCCCAATTCATTGTATTCAGGAAATAAAAACACTGTGCGCTAAAATGTAAGTGTTCTCTGTAGAGGATGTATTGACTTATTTTCAACAAAGCATCAATCAACAAAGCATGTCATTTAACCAGGGGTGTCCAAACTTTCGCCTGCGAATGTAAACGGATGCAGGAAAAGGGAACGCTTCTATCGCTTTCTTTTTTTCAGTTTCTGGGAATAGTTCTGGGTCTCTTGGATCACATTACCATTTTGAGCGCTATGCTGTGTTTGTAGAATCAATGCGCTGCTGCGGCAGCAATGTACGTAAATGTATGTTGCCACTATGTTGCATTTACAATCCTAAATCTGAACAACGGTCAACGCAAAATGATCACAAGTTCAGCACCTCAACTGTCATCTGTTAAGCAGATCAGCAACCACAGTACAGATTACAGAATTTTCCCTATAAATGCCCTTTCGGTTCTGACAAAATACAAAAGCCTGTTTTTGCTGAAGGACCTCTGACACTCCATACAGAGATAGCGGAGGTATCCTGTGACCTGGCATTGAATTCCAGCTGTGTCATGTGGCTGAGAGGAAATGCAGTGGGTTCAGATTCCTCATCCTTTGAGAGTGAATGACTGATTTGGTGTTTAAGTGCATATTTTAAGCTTCTCCTCCAAGCATGTTGATACACTTAGCAACGCTGCCTCATGGTTAGTGGTTTAAAAGAGCCGACTTTACAAGCAAGACTGCACAGACTTTGGCTTCAATGAGGTTAGAATGATTTGAAACTATTTAAAAATCAAAGACAGAGCCTGTAAAATGTAATAAAATGCCTGAGCCCCACTTCCTCTGATCATGCTGCTGCTGCCGCTGCTGCTGCTGACCGGGACAGGAAATACAGTTCTTAATCAGCTCCTTTCAGCCCCAGGCCTTTCTCTCTCCGACAACTGCATCCATTTCCCTCTGGAAAGGATCAGAATTACAACAGCATATGCCTTGCATTGTGCTCTTAAACAGCAAAAAGAGCTTATCGCTTGTTTTCATTTGTTGGTTCTCATGACATCAGAGAAACAGTGACTTCAAAACAGGCTTTTTTGCAGCTTAGTGTCCTTATATGGACTGTATGAAATGGGGGTCAACAGTAGATTTTGAAACTTTAACAACATTTACATACTGTTTACATCAAACCCTTTTTTTGGGCAGCACAAAAACACTAAGACACACATATATATACATATATATATACACATATATATATATATTTGTTTACACACACTTCATGGATGCAGCTGTTAAAGCTGCTGTAGACTGACTGTTGCTGATCATTGACATTCTTCTGATCAATGTTCTGTTTATTCAAAAAGTAGCAGATATTCAACAATTTTAAATGCAGTATTAGGAATGTATGGCATTCGTGTGCGCATATTTTTATTCTTATGTGGGTGTAGGAGGTCCGGCTCAGTCATTTGCTTGCTTTTGCTCTCTCTCCTACGCACCCCCTTGCAGGCCCCTGGGTCACACCTGTTCTGTGGCTTTGAGTTTTGAGAGAGGGGCAGAGGGTGCAGGAAGGGCAGGGAAAGTTCAAACAGTCTGGTGTCACATAACAATCTCCTTACAGGATCACAACCAGCCGAACCACACTGTCCACCACAACACAACAAATGTGTCTGTGTTGGCAGACTACCTCAAATCGCACCAACACGTAGCAATTACATCAACAATTACAGTGTTTAATGTCTCGGAATAAGTTCAACCTTCTTGACCATCTAAACAGACATAAAGGTCTTAGAAGAGAGGATGAGGCAGACAGTGGAAAGATAACGAGTGGGCAAGATGGACTTTCAGCCTAATCTTACAGAAAAGGCCAGCAGGATGGATCTCAGCCTTACAGTAAAGAGCTCCAGGGACACTTATAGCCAAGACAAATGTGAATAACCCGAAGACGAGAACATACTCATATGAAAGTATGACTGTTTCTCACTGCCGTGGAAGAGCACATGTTTCTATCTCACATAGCAGGTAATGATGTAAACACTAACAGCCATTAATCATCCACTCACATCATGACTCAGCAGGTAGACTACTAGCCAAAGGCAACAGCTTTCACACAGCCAGCCCATGTGGTGAGGCTATTTCAGTTTTCCTGCAATTTCATTGATGGCCGCGTTTGGAGTGCAATTTCTCTAGTATATTCTCTCTCAACCACAATAGCTTCAGGGAGCAGGCATAACCACCAAATAACAACCGTCTGTCATCAGCACCTCTATGCAGTTGGCAGGTGTACTTTTCTGATCAAAACAAAGACAATTACATACAGAATAACACAGTGCCATCTACAATAACTCTGACAGACTGATGAGATGGAGTCTTTCCCACTGCAAATGTGCATGCAAAGGAATTTCATTTGATGAGGATCTGATAAAAGTGACTGGACACTAGTACAGATGACAGTGCACCATATAACAGGCTCAGTTTCTGCTCTGACTACAGAGCAGTCTTTCTCAGAAACTCCATTAACATCTGTTTGTTTGAATGGGTGACTGGAGACCGATCTGTTGGTTGGAGAATGACTGAATGATGAAGCACAGATGATCTGGCAGGAGGTTCATTAAAGGCCAAAAGGAGGCCTGAAACACCTGAAAACAGCAGCAATTCTCAGACACACACTTAAATCACTACAGCCTTCAGGTTTAGGCACGTTCAACAACAACCCAGCGATAACGAGGAACTGCCACGTTTGAAACAGCAAAGACTGAACCGGCATTAACAGTTTTAAAAGTCGTTTTCAGCATGAGTCTCTCTCTCTCATGTATGGCGGAGACTCGCGTTAACTCTTTCCTACGCCACATCTCAGAGTCTCAGGGCAGCACTCTCGGCACTCTCGGCCAGGCTATCTGCAACAGCACGACGGCTTAAGTTTGACGAGGGCTGGTGTGAAAAACTGCTACTGCCACTCACTCTCACACAGACACACTCTCACACAGACACACTCTCACACACTCACAGACCAACAGAACACGGACTGACACGACAGTCAGGTCCTACTCGGTGTTGACAACACAGAGAAACTTCAGGCCGGACGGAGGGAAGAGGAATTCCAGACCGCTCTAAGTTGGAGCAGACCGCCAACTTTCTGCTGCTCCTTACACTCCTCCTCACACTTCTCCTCACACTTCTCCTCACCGTTAGCCGTCGTGCCTCTGTCTTCCGCGCCGCTCCGTCTTCACCATTCTCTCTCTCTTTCTTTCTGCCTGTCTGTCTCTCTCTCTGTCAGACGCAGCTGCGCTGAACCTCAACGCGGATTCCTGGCTGTATTTCGACCGTTAAACTAGCTTCTAATCGCGCTCACTCTTCGGCTAGCGCGCTCCCTCCCTCTCTGGCTCTCGCTCTGCCTTTCTCCCTCTCTCACGCGGGAGCGCGCATACGTAGCTGAGGGCAGGGCGATCTCGCGGCGCGATTGATGCTGGAATGTCGGGAGCGCGCGTTACTCAGCTCGAGACTTCTTGTTTGTTTAGTGGTGTTTTGTGTTTGTTTTTTCTGTTGATAATAAATTAAATAATTACGCGTAACGTTTTAAATCTATATACGTTCATATCGGAGTAACTGATTCATGAATTCATAAATTATGTGAAGTGACGCTTCCTGTTTGATCCACGTCCTGAACAATTTGAGCCACTATCACGAAAAAAAGAAAAAAAAATGCAACTGTTCAGCTGTGGACTAAACGAAGTTTGTTTTTTTTTTCCACCCGTTTTCCCACAGGTCCCGCCCCCTGCGCTGGGACTGGCCGATAAGAGGACTGCTTGTGATCTCAACTGTTTGCCAATCCTAATGCAGGAAACGAGCCGCTACCGGCCAATCAGAATGCAGGGGGCGGGGCGTGGTGGGAATACGGGTTGAGATGAAATGTGCGTGGAATCGAAACGAATAAGTGGCCGTGTGTTCACAGCGATTCAGGAAAGCGAATACGAAACAGCCATAAAGTGTTGAGCGGTTAGACCACACTCAATAAATATTTAAAAAAGTGAAAACGGAATCAGTACATACGCGTGAGTCTGGGAAAAAGGAGTACGTATAAAATATGTAAGTAAATTCTGGAAATAAACCAAAAAATGTGACGCAAGCATTTCAGATTCCTGACTGTAGCTTTAAAACACAGAATGTGGAGAGTTAGTGGAGAATTAAAACTGACTGAGGTCAGTGAGGGTGAAGAAGGATGGGGCGTGTTTGTGGAGAAGATGTGGACCATTAACGTCGTTAATGGCACAGTGTAAAAACAGGGGTGGGGAATGGTATGAAGAAAAATTAGGATGGTTTGATTGTTCTCTTGTTTTTGTTTTTGTTTTAAACTGCACTTGTGTCCATTAAACAGACTGTTTCATTCGACACTAGACCTTCCCTTCAGAGACCTTCATTCTCTGTCTCCCTCTCTGTCTCTCTCTCTCTCTCTCTCTCTCTCTTTCTCTCTCTCTCTGTCTCTCTATCTTTCTCTCATTCTGAGATGACTGGAGAGGGTGTGCTGAACCAAGGGCATTAAATAAAAGAACATTCCTGAAAATGTAAAACAACGAATCTAATTTTGTGTTGCACAGTTGTATTAGTTTAGTGGAGGAACACTGACCACTCCTGTTGAATATTGTGATTTAAATTTCTCACCACAAGAGGTCGTAGTTCTGCTTTGGACATCTGTAATCTCAAGCAGCTGAACCCCTTACAAACATCAAAGTAGCTCTTTAAAAGGTTTCTGAAACTTCTGACAAAGTTCAAACATCAAAGGCGTTAAATCTAAAATATTAAAATCTAATACTTGACAAAGTAATTCTATCTTGCACTGCTAAGGGCAGCTCTGTTTTCTGTATTGAAATGAGTGAGGAAAGGTGTTCTTTTGAAAACTGCTGATTCGCCTCTGAAAACTCTTAAACTCTCAGGCCGAGCTGGCACTCCAGCATTATGTTAATCATCTCTCTGCAGTCGCACAATGTCTGAATGCAATTTACTATGATGAAAGAGAAATGTTTATCCTACCGGTTAGAAAGCACAGAGAGCAGCGGGAATACGCCTGTGGTGGAAAGTGAAGGAAAAAAAATGAATCATTTATGTAGAATAATTAAAGATATGCCTCAATTCCTATCACGCAGAACGCTGGTGGAGATGAGGAAACACTGTTTTGGAATAACACGTTTTGCTTAGTTACCATAAGTGGAATACACTGAGTGCGACTGGAGTGAAGTAATCTAGTTGAATGAGAGATGTGAGGGAGGTTGGGTCTCCTGTGTGGAAGTTGAGGGTGAGAGAGGCAGGATGAGAGAGCAGTACTGTGAACTCTGACTCACACATCCTCCCAACCCACCATGCACTGCTCCAAATCCTCTCAGTCTTTCCAACACTGCTCCCTTTCCTAACCTCCTCCATCATCGCTTTAAACCTCTCTCACTATCGCTGCCAAGCCCTTTCCTTACACATACAGCACAGATCAGTAGCCATTGAAAGGCTTGTGTTATTTTTTTAATGGGGTCAATATTATTTTCTTCCTCACTTTCTACTATGACCAATACGCCATATAATCTAACACAGGAGTGTCCAATCTCAGGCTGTTGTGGGTGCAGGTTTTTGTTCCAAACAAGCAAAACACACCTGTCTTCAAACAGCTCATCATGTGTGCTCGAAAACCTGCCGCACACATCTAACATGATATTTTTTCAAAGGCTTAAAGGTGCAGTGTGTAAGATATAGCGACATCTAGCAGTGAAGTTGCAGATTTCAACAGACTGAATACCCCTCCCATCACACACACTACCAGGCCACTACCATGTCAGTGTCACTTTTATGCTGAGAATGGTCCATGGTGGTCCCATGAGAAGATATATGTTATCTTCCCGCCCCATATACTTTATTTATTTACTCATTACAGTGTTTGTTTCATTGTGAGCTACCGCCAAGGCAAATTCTTTTGAAGTGTTATTTTGCTTTAATTCTGATTCTAAAACCAAGTTTGAAGCCCTGGAAACACTGACGCCATCTCTCCTCTCTGTCTCCCTATGCAGTCCATCTCTCTCTTACTCTCTCCAGGAAGCCAGTGAAAGGAAGCATAAAGTCCATCCTGAGGGGATGGGGCGATCGAGCATGTGAGCTTAAGCTTGGAGTCTCCCTTTCTTCCTCTCTCTAAAGTGGAGCGGAGAGCCTCTCTCTTCGCCTCTCAGCAGCAGGTCCACATCAAAGTGGAACAGACCAGCATACATGGTCTCTCCTTTCTTCTGGAAGTGGGCAGAAGGAGGCTGAAGATGGGGAGAGGAGTGATGTTCCACATGATACAAATTCACTATAAACCTATCTGGCCTGAAAAAGATGGTTTGGTAAGGTGAAATTTACATAGTTTTTCTCCTCTCACTTCAAACACAGGTGCTCAGCAAAGTTTGCTTCTGCTTTGGAGCTGCAAGGCTAACGTAACTAACAACTAACAGCGCCCTAAATGTTGTCTTCAATTTTGTATGTTTTTATAGATAACAGTAGGATACACTGTAAGAAACCACATAAAAAAGCCTATCCAGATTACTCAATAACTCAACATGGTTTCAGGCAAGTGTGTGATGAATTAGGAAAGCAGCACAAAAAACTGGTAGTTATAAGCTTCCATTACTTGTTAGCTATTAGCCACGTAGCTCGCAGAACTAAAGGCATACATTTCAGAGACCACACATGTCTGGACTGATTGCCTCCAAGTGAAGTAAGGACAAAACTGTGTAAATAATATTTTTGTACTAATCATCACTTAAAGGGAAGCAGTGTGCTGTGTAATCATGCCCCTCAACTCCTAAAAGTCAAGGTTACAGATCTCACGGAGAGCCAGAGGAAACAGGGTCAACCTGTAAGAGGATATGAGGTCATCAGAGCCACCTGTGAATGGGATTACAGCACTGCCACACAGCAGTCATTACTGATAGGAAGTCCTGCTGCTGGACAGGAAATGGCCATCATAACAGAGAGGCTATTATGTACTGTAGGTGCTAGCTTTAGCACTTATACTCAGACATTTTCTAGGAGCAATTTTGTTTTGTTTTTTAAATAGTCGCACTTCAGAGTGATCACAAGCCAATCAAGAAATCTGCTGTTCTTCTGCAAGTTGTGTTTTGTAGTGTGTGGAGCAGCTAATGTCGGTCGTGGCTCTGCTGAAGCAGCAGTGCAGCCAAGAAGCACGCTTCCATCCCGAACATCTGCTTCAACTGGCACGACTGCTGCCGGTGATGCCAGAGTGATCAGATGGACTTGTGACATCTCGCTGCCCATCAAACTCTCACTGTTCCTGGTCCAGAACATAAAAGTTCACTTTTTCTACACTTCACCATGTCACTGTGGTGTACTTTAAATCCATCATGAAGCTGAATCCATTATCAATGTATCATGTCATCTACAACTGCAAAAAAAAGAAGACTGAACATTCGGTTAGTATTTGTGTACTCAACAGTTTTGTTTTGTTCTGCTCCAAAACATTTAATTCAGCTCATTGGCTAATAATTAAATACTATCATGATCTCAAGAATGATCTCAAAAATCTACAAGAATGGAGAACTTTGGGCTAAATTACCAAAAACGCAATGGGGTTCTGCGATAATGCCTGTTCTGTAATTGAACACGCTTCATAATTACATCAGAAAGTTGTTCACAAATGGAAATTTTATCTACAGATTTTTTTCCGCATCTTACAGAGCTAGCACAAACTCTTCAATGTTTTCAGAGTATTAACATTTTTAGTGTGTTGTATGTAATAGGACCCCATCAGAAAGGCACATGAAAAGCAATAACATTGCAAGCATAATTATTGCTCATACGCATTTTTAAAACTTATCACATTATGATATTTTTTAAATCTTTTAAACTTTATGAAGTTGTAACCCTCAAAATAACAGACCACTAAAAGTATGGCTTGTAAGACAAAAAGAACCTTTGTTAATGCTCAACCAATGAATACGTAACATGACAACACTGTGAGAACTGACCTCTACTAATACTGCAGTCACAGTAGCATGTTTTTGCTGTGACCAAGTATCACACATTTGCCTTTATACACAAGTAAAGGGTGACTGTGCACTGTGAGCAAGTCCTGAAGACCAAACTCTATCAGTCTGTGGAATCTCATATTAAAGCAACACTATGAAGGATTTTTTTCTCTCTGGTGGAAATATGTAATTGCACACTTCAAGAATATACTATTAATTTGTATAGCATCTCGTAATATGAGATTCTGCTGACTGTTCGATGATCATTCAGCCTTCACACACACACAATGCATCACTATACAACACGCGTGCGTAAAGGCCAATGTGTGATATTTAGATGATCACAGTATAAACATGTCACTGTAATTTGGCACTACTGTGTGTCAGACCTGATCATGA